TTAACTCATTCTGTAAGAATCAGTGAGGAATCTTGAGGGTTGATGTCTGTTGGGGATGCCAGCCCAAGACGTGTTAGACGGTCGCGCGGCCTCTGGCAGGTGTGGGTCAGGGTTATGCTTTGTCATGGCTGTGGTATCGGCAACAGTCATTGACAGATAAAATAATGTAGTTGTCAGAACAGTAGGGTTTAAGGGTTCTTGGGTAAATGGATTACCCTATGGGAATTGTTAGATGGAAAGTAAAGTCATGTAACAGTGGAAACCTGAAGTATTCAGGTGAAATATTTAGGGATAAAAGTTGTTTTTGTTCTAATAAAACATATGAGGTAGGGGTATGTTTATGGGAATATAGGTTACTTTTTATATACCAGGTAGTAAGAAGAGCAGGACTTTGATGGTTAAAAGATTAGCTTTTGACTGACAATGTGACTATGGGAATTTTAGAGATATTTGGTGGGTTTGTGATGATAGAGTATATTCTTACCCTATGGGGGATAGGATGTTGTTACAGGTCAACGTTTAAGCTTCCATATGAGGTTTTTTACCATTAAAAGAGGAGTGGTACCAACACAGTAATCTGAAGCTAGGGTTGAAAATGGGGTGAAAAGAGACATGGCTACATGTCATAGTCTTCAAGCCTATCATTGAAGGGTAAGTCTAAGAGAGAAGGGGGACTTCATTCATGGTATGGTGTAACATTTGGGAGGATAATATTGATAAATATTAGCTATACTTTGAGTCCAGATAGTTCAGATAATATCACTGGGGTTATAGATGCATTATAAGGGATGTGTTTGGGAGATCTGAGAGGATGCTAGATCAATTAGGCCAGTAGGGGCAGTGAGGGTGCAGATTTTAGTCGCAGCTCTGATAGTGTTGTGTGTCATGTTTTGCTTTTGTACTTTGTTACTGACCTTTGCAAAAGCTATGATATTAAGATGGGTTGGTGTTGTGATGCCTGGAGACAACACTCAGATGCCGTTGTTGACTGTTCCTGATCTGGATAAAGATGGACAAGTGGAACTGATGGATAAATATCATTTTGGATTATTTGATGATTTTTCAAATTGTTTTTTCAATATTAGTCTGATGTTTAGTATGATTTATGAATCAAGGGGGGAATGGGTTTATGTGATTCATGCATCATTTATATATCAGTTTTATAGTCTTAGTGGATATTGATGTTTAATTTGAAGGTGTTTTTTGGAAAAGATACTGTTTGGTCGTTTATTTTCTTGTCATTCCAGAAGCATTTGGGAGAACATGTGGAGATTGGAATGCTCAAACAAAGACAATATGAAGGGACAATATGACTGGAGGAGATGAAACAAGGAGGGTGTGGCTGATTCCATCATCAACAAGTTCATTGGAAGAGGACACTACAGGGAGAGGAAGTGTAGTGGACTACATTCCAGTGTCTGCAATGAAATATAGACATATTTGATGTGTAATACATAATTGTGTCATATTCTTAGGTATTGATTTTAGTAGAATGATGTTTGATGTTATTGAATGCAGATGAGGATCTTAGATGCTTTTGTTTATTTCGATGGGGTTTAGGGACAGAAGGTCTAGGAAGGGAGAGATTCATTGTACGATTCGATGGGTTGACCAGCCGTACAATGGATATTTATGGATAGGATTTTGTTTACATGTGTATTTAGTTGCATCATACTTTCAAATGCATTTACATGAGTTATGAGGTTATCTGGAGTACCGACGGTGGTTGCCTGGGGCAGAGGGACCGTGAGAGAATTTTACTGTCTTGATTGATATGGATGGATGGCTGCTGGACAGGTTTTTCGCTCTCACACTCCATAAAGATTTATTCATAATTCATAGTAATGTATTCATACTTCATAAACAGTTGTTCATATGTCATAGTAAGGTATTCTCACTTCATAAACAGGTATTTCATAGAAAGGTATTTACACTCTAGAGGAGAATGTGTTTGGTTTAATGTTAAAGATACTCAATAAGATAAATGGTTAATAGTCATAATCTTATTCTGTTTGTTTTCGAGACGTTTATGTCGTCTCGAAAGGGGGGAATATCGTATCTGAAGATTATGCCTTTGTTAAATGTTTTTCATGAAGAAATGGAATGTTGGTTATGTTAGTATCAGAAGGCAATGTTTAGTATGATGACATATGACAGACAGGAAGGGGTTTGTAAGATATGGGGATTGGACAGTAGAGGGAGCTATTCAACTCTTGGAAGGCTATATAAAGGGGAGACTGGTGATTGGCCAGAGGAGGTAGTTTCATTGTTTATAAATAAGGGGGTTAGGCGCGGGAGAGTTAGAACGGCCATATCAATCTGGGGAGCCGTTCTCCGGACATCGCGAGTCTGTATCTATGCTGTAAACTCATGATTTTAATAAAAGCGTCTAACACGATGCAGCATAGCGGACTTTTTGTTGACAGCAATAATTGCCACCATTCATCATATACGACACTAACCTTAACGGTAACCTTAACCACACTGCTAACCCTCACCTTAAGCCTAACCCTCACCTTAAGCCTTATGCCTAACCCTCACCTTAAGACCAAAAAGCTAATTTTTGTTTTCATGAATTTGTACAACATAGCCAATTTTGACTTTGTGGCAATGCTATCTAATGGAAACCGACAGAGACAGATACACTTTACCGCCTGCTACTTTAGATACAGTGGGGAAAAAAGTATTTAGTCAGCCACCAATTGTGCAAGTTCTCCCACTTAAAAAGATGAGAGAGGCCTGTAATTTTCATCATATGTACACGTCAACTATGACAGACAAAATGAGAAAAAAATCCTGAAAATCACATTGTAGGATTTTTAATGAATTTATTTGCAAATTATGGTGGAAAATAAGTATTTGGTCAATAACAAAAGTTTCTCAATACTTTGTTATATACCCTTTGTTGGCAATGACACAGGTCAAACGTTTTCTGTAAGTCTTCACAAGGTTTTCACACACTGTTGCTGGTATTTTGGCCCATTCCTCCATGCAGATCTCCTCTAGAGCAATGATGTTTTGGGGCTGTCACTGGGCAACACGGACTTTCAACTCCCTCTAAAGATTTTCTATGGGGTTGAGATCTGGAGACTGGCTAGGCCACTCCAGGACCTTGAAATGCTTCTTACGAAGCCACTCCTTTGTTGCCCGGGCGGTGGGTTTGGAATCATTGTCATGCTGAAAGACCCAGCCATGTTTCATCTTCAATGCCCTTGCTGATGGAAGGAGGTTTTCACTCAAAATCTCACGATACATGGCCCCATTCATTCTTTCCTTTACACGGATCAGTCGTCCTGGTCCCTTTGCAGAAAAACAGCCCCAAAGCATGATGTTTCAACCCCCATGCTTCACAGTAGGTATGGTGTTCTTTGGCTGCAACTCAGCATTCTTTGTCCTCCAAACACGACGAGTTGAGTTTTTACCAAAAAGTTCTATTTTGGTTTCATCTGACCATATGACATTCTCCCAATCCTCTTCTGGATCATCCAAATGCACTCTAGCAAACTTCAGACGGGCCTGGACATGTACTGGCTTAAGCAGGGGGACACGTCTGGCACTGCAGGATTTGAGTCCCTGGCGGCGTAGTGTGTTACTGATGCAAGGCTTTGTTACTTTGGTCCCAGCTCTCTGCAGGTCATTCACTAGGTCCCCCCGTGTGGTTCTGGGATTTTTGCTCACCGTTCTTGTGATCATTTTGACCCCACGGGTGAGACTTGCGTAGAGCCCCAGATCGAGGGAGATTATCAGTGGTCTTGTATGTCTTCCATTTCCTAATAATTGCTCCCACAGTTGATTTCTTCAAACCAAGCTGCTTACCTATTGCAGATTCAGTCTTCCCAGCCTGGTGCAGGTCTCCAATTTTGTTTCTGGTGTCCTTTGACAGCTCTTTGGTCTTGGCCATAGTGGAGTTTGGAGTGTGACTGTTTGAGGTTGTGGACAGGTGTCTTTTATACTGAAAACAAGTTCAAACAGGTGCTATTAATACAGGTAACGAGTGGAGGACAGAGGAGCCTCTTAAAGAAGAAGTTACAGGTCTGTGAGAGCCAGAAATCTTGCTTGTTTGTAGGTGACCAAATACTTATTTTCCACCATAATTTGCAAATAAATTCATAAAAAATCCTACAATGTGATTTTCTGGATTTTTGTTTCTCAATTTGTCTGTCATAGTTGACGTGTACCTATGATGAAAATTACAGGCCTCTCTCATCTTTTTAAGTGGGAGAACTTGCACAATTGGTGGCTGACTAAATACTTTTTCCCCCCACTGTATGTGTATATGTATATGTATATGTGTGTATATGTGTGTATATATATATGTGTATATGTATGTGTATATATATATATATATATGTGTGTGTATATGTATGTATGTATATGTGGTGTATGTATGTATGTATGTATGTATATGTATATATGTATATGTATATTTGCGAGAAAAAAACATATGGGGGATTGGACATGATGCAGACAATTACATTGTTGGAAGTTACAATCTATCTGAAATATTAAAGCTGATCTACCCCCTGAATTAAAAAAAACAAAAAAATGAATTAAAAAAACAAAACAAAAAAACAAAAAACAAAGAAGAGCTCTCTAGGTGTTAAAATTTCAAAATCGTTCAAAGGGCATTTTCTCATACTTATCTCCAAACTGGCATAACAAGTTTATCAACTTTTAAAGCAGGATAACTTTTCCTTTTTTCCTCCAACTACAATATATGATAAACCATTTTGAAGGTCAGTCTGTACTTTTATAAAAATGTAAAAATAAGCAAATCACTTATGTTTGATATAAGCCTCAATAGAGAAATCTGGACACAAATGTTCATAGACAAATGTGCATTTTTTTTTTTTTCTCCCCACATTGAGAGTAACGATCATAACAGGTCCTTCAGTGTGATGGGACAACAGGTCAAAACACAGAATATACATGTACGGTATGTAGAATTTGGGATTTCTAGGCATTTTTCTAATATTGTATACTATAGGTGTTGAATGATAGAGAATTCGGACATAAATCAATCTCAATCTGCTAGCTCTACTCTGGGCAGACACAAGAGAGGATAATGTCTATCATGTTCTTGATAATGATGGGGGGCGGGTGGAGGGCATGGGGGAGGTGGTGGGCAAGGGTCATCTCCCAGGCATCTATCAGCAAGACATCCAGACCCCTGAACATGGCCCTGAGCACCCCGTCCAGCTGCACTGAGAACCAGTCACTATTGTACAGGCTCACCTCCGGGTTCTGGGCCTGGAGGTTGGCCGAGCGCAACACTACCAGGGTCCCCGGAGCCCGGTCCAGAAGCCGCACCAGCGCCCGCCGAATGTGGCGTAGTCTGCGAATGTAGGCCTGCACAGGGTAGGTGCTGAAATGGGACCATACACTGATAATCACCACAGTGTTCGACCCGCCAGTCAGGCCATCCAGCTCGTTAGCTACATAGCGCATCTCACTGGCGATGACAGTAGAGTAGCGGATTGGAGGACCGTGACAATGGTACTTCAGCAGGACGTTGTGGGTGCTGTCCACTGCCATGAAAGGCCCCACCTTCTTAGGACTGTAAAGATTGAACTCCTTCAGCTCTGTCACAAAGAGGAAGGGAGAGTTGGGAGTTGGACAGACAGAAGAGCGAGTTAGAAAGCACCTGAGGCATCAGAGAGTGAGCGATGTCACAGGACTTGCAGACAGAACTCACCTGGTAATAAGGCGTTGAGGTACTCGAACCACTGTCTGACAGTAGAGTCTCCGTACATGTACACCACCTTGCCCTTCAGACACTGAGTGGCAGACGAGTCGTTAAACTGGCGCATCACACCACCACCCAGAGCTCGCCATGACCCTTGGAAGTAATACCCAGAAGGAGTGATCCTGGTAGACTCTGTCTTCATGCTGCTTCTCTCCACGTCTGCTTTGTCTGAAAGAGGAACGCAAGCATCTTGCACCGGCTAGCATCATCACTTTACAGGCAATAGAGGTGCTTTCCCACCTTACACTACTGTAGATGCAGTAGTGGGCTCGAATACTGTCCTGCACACCCAGAACCACTCCAGGGTTGAAGTATACAGCCACAAAGCAGAGCGGTTAGTAGGCTGGCTAGCTAGCGTTAAAAAGATAAACACACAGTTGTACTGTGGCATCTCCATGCTCTCCTACCTTTTTTCTCAGGCAGCACAATGACACTGTCAGACCCTGAAGGATGAATGTGAACCTTTATGTTTACACCACTGAGAAAGAATTGAAAGAGAATCATATTTAAATGTTAAATAAACCCACAGCAGCAAGCAATCTGATACACTGAAAACAAAGTATGTGATTCAATTAGACATACTTTCACTCACATACGGATTGTACCCCTCACTAACCTCTGGAAGAGCAATGCCTCTTTGTTGGTGAGTAGATGTTTCACATAGTTTCCTCTGCTAGCGTGGTTGATCCGTGTGTCACAGCTCAGCAGCTTGGGCTTGTAGCAGTACCAGGGCTCCCCTGTGTGGGGGTCTGTGTAATTGCACAGCGGCTCCTGGTTTAACGGCAGACACAGGTTACATACAGTTGTTTGGGACAGTTTTCCAGAGCGAAACAAACTCTTAAAGAAAATCCGATCAGGCCGTTCCTCTCGTAACCGTCCTAGAACATGAACTGCCTCACTAGGATGGACCAGTGTCACCTCCACCTGTGCAGACCCCTGCCATAATAATGGAAAAATGGCAGAGTAGGTCCCATTCCTGTGGTCCAGCACCTGTCCTACAACGCCTGCCCCCAACTTGGGGGAGTGCAGCCGGGCCAGCAAGAAGTCTCCACCATAGCTCTTGGGACGCCCCTGGAAATCGTGCATATGGACTAGAGCCTCCAGCTGGTCCCCCACGTGCCACTCTCTCTTGCCCCCTGCTGGCAGGATCACAAAAAGGCTGTGTGCAGGGTCACTGGTCTGGTTCAGGAAAACATTAATAGAATGGGGCTGAGGCTGTGGCCAGGCGATTGACTCCAGGAGGTCATGCTCCTCCAGAACCTCCTCCGGTGAGGGCTCCTGGCCACAGTAGCTCCGGTTGTGGCCCAGAGGAGAAGGGCCCTCTGGGAGGAAAGCTGGGTGGATGCTGCTCTGACTCTGGCAGAACGTTGACACTGTTTGGCAGTTGAGCTTCTGCTGAGGATAAGAGAAGAGGTCACTAACTGACGTGCTACACTGGACACGTAACTTTTGAAGAGCGTGTGACGCTTCCATTCATTTAAATGAAACCTGGAGGTAAGCAGCACAGCTCCATGAGAGGCTCACGCTGTTCAGTGTAAAATTATGCTCTGGTACTATTATCAAGAATTTGACGCATGGCTAACACCCAATAACACTTGGTAAAGTGGCTTGCATTCTGCTGATGCCTACTAAATCTATGCATCAATTGTAGCATCTAAAAATCGACTGTTTTCATGACACCCTAGCTGCTTTTAGCAACGCGGGTGTATTTACATACACTAGCGTTGCTTTCAATTCTATTGGGTTGTACAAAAACAGTCCACGGGAAGCCAGAAGGTAAATACAATTCCATTTCAACTTACTGTGCCGATGGGCAGGACTGTTGGTCATTATGAAGGGAGATTCTGAGACAAAATAACGAAAGAATCGTGTTATTAAACAGACTTTCCAAACGCGGGTCTGTTGTAGACCCACTTCCTCTCTGCTTACTTCATGTCAAATTAAGTCCTGCACGTGTGCCATTTGTGGACAAAATAAGAAAAAAAAACTTGTGGGGGATTTTTATTTTTACATGAGCTAAGCAGAGAGAAAGTGGGTCTACCACAGACCCACGTTTGGAAAGTCTGTTTAATAATACGATACTTTAGATATTTTGTCTCAAATTCCACCCTTCATGATGACTAACAGTCCTGCCCACCAGCACAGTAAGTTGAAATGGAATTGTATTTAATTTCTGGCTTCCCGCAGACTGTTTTTGTGCAACCCAATACAATGAAAAGCAACACTAGTGTATGTAAATACACCCACGTTGCTAAGAGCAGCTAGTGACGCCCCAGTGTAGCTCCCCTGTGAGGGGGAGAGGGTGGTAAAGGAGGTAAATGGTGATAGAAGCAATGTGAGATAAATGAATCATGTTTGACCTGTAACTTGTTTTGAGTGCAGATGGCTTTATCCTACCTCCAGAATGTTGATGTTTCTGAACAGGAAGAAGAGGCATGACAGGGCCAGCAGGAAGAAGATATAGATATATTTGGACAGGCTCCTCCACATGGTGTCCATCCTTTGTCAGACAGCTTGATGTTGACACAAAGAAGCTGGTAAGGGACAGATCACAACTTACTGGGGGAGGGGTGGTCCAAAATATGGGAGAATTATCAAACTTTTTTATTTTAGCTTTTTTTTAGTTTTTTTTTATTGGGCACAGGGGAAGGTAGTGCGCATTTTTTCCTGGTTAACATTGGCTCTTTTGCAGGCTTTACTATATAATTTCTTCAATCCTAGCCAAATTTCCTCATCTGCTTGCATGCGCCTCCCCTATATGAAGGTGTTTTGGTACATCCCTTATGCACTATGCTTTTACATGTGCTAACTTTTACTATACCACAGGCCAGTATAGTCTGCAGTCTAACGGTCTATCCTGCCTTCTAGCCACCATTCATAGTAACAATTGTGGTAGGTGGATCGTTTGTCCAGATCTGAAATAGGCTAACTAGCAATCATACCACACATAAAAGCATTCAAAGCTGCATCAATTTTAAATATTAATCGAGAAAAACAAATAGGAATAGCTGAAATGCAGCTGACAGGCCAGGTGCATCATTGCGCATGAAAGAACAGTGAAGACATGAAACACACAGCTCAAAAAGCTCCCCTATTGATCTTGTTTAGGGACAATACAATTATCCTACCTAGACTATAGTAGCCTACAACACCACAATGCAATGAATAACTGCATTATTGTTTTCAAGTGAGTACAAAATTCTACTCTAGGCTGCAGTGAAAATGTCATTTGAATAATGGCGCGAAAGCCCTGTAACGCGCTCTGCCTCATCTCCAATCCAAACGGCTATTCCTCACGCACCTATACAGAACCTAACACTTCAATATAGCCTAAATATGATAATTTAACTTTATAAGGTATTACCTTTTATATGTGGCATAAACACAACCAGTCACAATGTTTTAATCTGATTAGGCTACATCAAAAGTCTCCTGTAGGCATGCGCACGTTCATCTAAAATATAATTCCACCGTCCTCAAAATGGCTTGACATTAACCAGGTTTTCATCCAACCTTTTTATGCAGTAAAGTACCCTACATGTCGGATAAAAAATGTCACTACATCATGGGAAAGCATGCAGTTTAATTAGGATATAGATTAAATAAATTATGATGAACTTCACAGGGTGGTGGAAGTGCACAGTGATGAGGTTTATGCTCCTTTAAATAAATATGGAAGGTCTTATTCTGGTGACATGATGATCGATGCTTGGCTGCCATTTGACAGATAAAAATTATCTAGCACTTTTGTCCATAATAATCTCATCATGTAGTAGGTTATACCCGCACTGTATCTGCAAACTGTTGGCTAGAGCGCACGTGACAATACCAGAGTGGGCACATTCGCTAGACCTAGGCCTAGAGTTGAAAATGTATTGGAAACCCATTTAACTTGTATTTTTTATTCAGCACATGGGAATTTAACCTCAAGTTATTCTTTTGTGCACTACATATTTACACACATACTTTTATCTGCAACAAGCAGTGGTGTAAAGTACGTAGGTAAATATACTTTAAAGTACAATTTAGTCGTTTTTTTGGGTATCTGTACTTTACAATTTATATTTTTGGCAACGTTTACTTTACTACATTCCTATAGAAAATAATGTACTTTTTACTCCATACATTTTCCCTGACACCCAAAAGTACTCGTTACATTTTGAATGCTTAGCAGGACAGGAAATGGTCCAATTCATGCACTTATCAAGAGAACATCCCTGATCATCTCTACTGCCTCCGATCTGGCGGACTCCACTAAACACACATACTTTGTTTGTAAATGATGTCTTAGTGTTGGAGTGTGCTCCTGGCTATACAGAAGAAGAAGAAAAAAACAGGAAAATGGTGCTGTCTGGTTTGCTTAATATAAGGAATGTGAAATCAAGTATATTTGAGCAATAACATTTTATTTTGATACTTAAATATATTTTAAACCAAATACTTTTAGACTTTTTCCTCAAGTAATATTTTACTGGGTGTTATGATGAGTTTCTAGGATATCAAGTGATTACGAATGTAAGTACTTAGACACTTTTGATGGAGAGTTCATATTAGTATTTAATATGTACATGGTTAGTTACAGTGAGGGAAAAAAGTATTTGATCCCCTGCTGATTTTGTACGTTTGCCCACTGACAAAGACATGATCAGTCTATAATTGTAATGGTAGGTTTATTTGAACAGTGAGAGACAGAATAACAACAAAAAAATCCAGAAAAATGCATGTCAAAAATGTTATAAGTTGATTAGCATTTTAATGAGGGAAATAAGTATTTGACCCCTCTGCAAAACATTACTTAGTACTTGGTGGCAAAACCCTTGTTGGCAATCACAGAGGACAGATGTTTCTTGTAGTTGGCCACCAGGTTTGCACACATCTCAGGAGGGATTTTGTCCCACTCCTCTTTGAAGATCTTCTCCAAGTCATTAAGGTTTCGAGGCTGACGTTTGGCAACTCAAACCTTCAGCTCCCTCCACAGATTTTCTATTGGATTAAGGTCTGGAGACTGGCTAGGCCACTCCATGACCTTAATGTGCTTCTTCTTGAGCCACTCCTTTGTTGCCTTGGCCGTGTGTTTTGGGTCATTGTCATGCTGGATTACCCATCCACGACCCATTTTCAATGCCCTGGCTGAGGGAAGGAGGTTCTCACCCAAGATTTGACGGTACATGGCCCCGTCCATCGTCCCTTTGATGCGGTGAAGTTGTCCTGTCCCCTTAGCAGAAAAACACCCCTAAAGCATAATGTTTCCACCTCCATGTTTGACATTTACATTTACATTTACGTCATTTAGCAGACGCTCTTATCCAGAGCGACTTACAAATAGGTTCATTCACCTTATAGCCAGTGGGATAACCACTTTACAGAAAAAAAATTTCCCTTTAAGAGTGTGCTCCTAATCTCAGCTTGTTACCTGTATAAAAGACACCTGGGAGCCAGAAATCTTTCTGATTGAGAGGGGGTCAAATACTTATTTCCCTCATTAAAATGCAAAACAATTTATAACATTTTTGACATGTGTTTTTCTGGATTTTGTTGTTGTTATTCTGCCATTTTATATGAAGGGATCTTTACTTTTACTCAAGTATGACAATTGGGTACTTTTTCCACCACTGGCAACAAATCAATTAGATGGAAACACAACTCTGATGGGAAAATGCACCAGGGTTTCTCTTAGCTGGTAATACAGCTTTTGGCCGATAAAAAAAAGAAACGGCAATAAATAAAATTGTAGGGGGCCAAATTGTCCAGGAGAGGCCGTCTATCATAGCCTACACCCCGAATTCGCGCTTCAGCACCATTCTCTCATGCCTTGCGGGCACATGAGCCTGCTGCTGAGGAGAGAAAGAGCAAGAGCGGAGCCTTGGCCTAAGCCACTGTTGATTGTGAAGATTGAGGCCTTTCTCATTGAAGTAAGACAAAAGTTAGAGGAAAAAGAGTTTGCCTACAGTGTAAAGTCTACAAGGGGAATGTATTATAAGTTGTAATATTTTAGTGGAAGATTAGAAGAACATTGTCAAGGCCAAATGCAGGCTACTGTGCAACTCCCTATTCAGGTAGGATGCAATTTTGGAACTTACATTCATATATAACATTTTGTTTTATCATTATTATATATCATTGTTATTATTCTAAGCCTATTTATTAATAGAAACCTGTTTTTAATACTGTTGAGACATTTTCATTGGCTAAATTAAATTGGATCTGTCTTTTTAATTTTGTGCTGCATATTTAGTTTAAGATAGGTTATAAGTAAGTCTGTTGTAAAGTAAATGACATTAGCCTATTTCTGTCATTTGTTGGGTATAGAAGGCACTTGCCTTTCTTGGTAATTGCTGCAATATAGCCTTTTCAAAACTCCTGTAAAGGTTTAAACCAGTTAGCAACTGTTTCATTTAATTCTGTTGAGGACTTTTTTTTGGCCAAATAATGTTTCCTGTTCTTTCTTATATCTCTCAGATATAGGACAGACACTTCAGAACAAACTTCCTTTAGATTTTTGGGGGGACTATCTGTTGTTCCATGTAGTGAATCTGTTATTCAATGCGTATGTAAGGCCCAAAATACATTTTCATTAAATCATTAAAAATATATTTATTTTATACTTCAAGGAGTCTTAAAATTCAAAATCAAATAGCAAAATGATCCTTGGTATGACCTTCTTAAAACAATTCCATATAGCTTAGACAGGTCCCAAAATCAACCCCTTCAGGACACCTTTAGTAACATCAAGGTAACTTGACTTGACACCATCAGAAAGCAAATATTGTGTCCTGTCTGACAGATAGTTCCCAAACCAATTGTAAGACGCCTGGTCGATGCACATTTCAGACAACCTTTGAATGAGTAGGGGATGGTTGACAGTGTCAAAGGCCTTGGATAGGTCAATAAATATGGCAGCACATTGATTCCTATGATCTAAGCAATTTAAGACAATCATAGCTGCTGAAACGGAGCTATGTCCAGGTCTAAAACCGGAATGGTACACATTAATAATATAATTAGAGGTAAAAAAAGTTATTAGCTGAGAGTTTGCCAGTGATTCTAATATTTTTGCAAGGCAGGATAGTTTAGAAATTGTCTGTCCTCGTTTGCAACACTCATCACCGAGTTTCAAACTGCCTCTGGAAGCAACATCAGCACAATAACTGTTCGTCGGGGGATTCATGCCGCACACAAGCCTAAGATCACCATGCGCAATGCCAAGCGTCAGCTGGAGTGGTGTAAAGCTCGCCGCCATTGCACTCTGGAGCAGTGGAAATGCGTTTTATGGAGTGATGAATCACGCTTCACCATCTGGCAGTCCGATGGACGAATCTGGGTTTGGCGGATGCCAGGAGAACGCTACCTGCACCAATGCATAGTGCCAACTGTAAAGTTTTGTGGAGGAGGAATAATGGTCTGGGGCTGTTTTTCATGGTTCGGGCTAGGCCCCTTAGTTCCAGTGAAGGGAAATCTTAACGCTACAGCATACAATGACATTCTAGACG